TGTTTGAGATATGTGTTATATATACATATCTGGTTTTGTACCTTGTCAAGAAGATATAACCATCAATAATACTATTATGATTATTGTTTTGATATTTTAGCTAGACTTACAGTTGTGAATCCCTGATTATATTTATGCTTATGAAAAGTTACTAATAGTTTTTGTATTGCAATAATTTATGTTTCGATATGTGACATTAGTTATATTTATGTTCTTATTATGAAAATATATTTAAATATATCTTACTTTTAAAAATATTATTAGTAAGTCATGATTCGAAAGTTTTGTGAACTTTATAAGCACCAAAAAACAATTTAATATTTATGCTATATTAAATACATAAAAATTTCATGTGTAAAGATAATATTATGATAAATTTTGAGTCACAATGCTTATTAGTTGTGATTTGCTCATAAAATTATCTTTTAATTTTTCAAAGTGTATAGTGAAAATTACTTATGTACATATTAAAATTACTTTGTATATATTTTATTTGGATTGAAATGTTATAAATTGCTAAGTTGAATTATATTATTAGTATCTTAAGGGTTGATTAACTATGAATTAATTTATATTACAGTTCTCCTACCTTTGTTAGTAGACTACAAACAGCACAATATCATAAAAGCTCAGATAAGATAATTCAGCAATCAACCAACTTGCAAATGGACAAGATCATTTAAGAAGACAGAAGAGGAAGAAGATGAACATTTAGAGTAGTAGTTGAGCAAGTAGGTATAACCTACCTATGCATATACATTCATTCCATTAGCTGCATTGCATGGAAACAGCATACATGAGCAGACCATCAGAAGCAGCTACAAAACACTTGCTATCAACATTCTTTGGTCAGAGCAGCACTTCTACCCTAACTATCAAGTTGGGCAGGTGATGGGGATGCCATGGACAAAATGATCTCCAAGCACTGCACTTTTCTATAGCATTTCTTCCCAACAAAACCCCTCAGCACCTTGGAACAGCTCTGCATACCAAAGGCTTCTCCATCTCGAGCGACATCCTCAAGCGTTCTGATAGATCCACACCACCATCTGCAGGCACCCAGTTGAAGCTCTGAAGAAGCTGCGCCAGCCAAAGATGAACAGTAGCTAATCCCATGGCCTTTCCCGGGCAGGCCCTCCTCCCCGCACCGAACGGCGCCAACCTCAGGTCGGAACCCAGAATGTTCACGTCCTCCTCCGTGAACCGCTCGGGCTTGAACTCATTAGGCTCCGCCCATATGGACTCGTCGTGCGTTATCGCCCACATGTTCACCATCGCAGTGGTGCCGGCGGGGATGAAGTGGCTCCCGACGTGAGCATCATGTACGGCGAGGCGAGCCCACGAGAGGAGCGGACCAGGTGGATGCATCCTGAGGGACTCTTTCACGACGGCCTGCAGATAAGGAAGGCTGACGATATCCGCATCAGTAACAGGGCGTGTGTTGCCGACGACGGCGTCGATCTCCGACCGCGCTATGGATTGGGCGTCGAGGTGCAGAACCAGTCTGGCCATTATCCATTCCAAGAGGATGGCAACGGTGTCCGTTCCTCTAAAGATCATCTCCTGCACACCCATCAACATGCAAAAGTTGGCCGTCTTCTACCCCACACTAAAAGTCGATTCATGCATATCATACGTAATATATGGTGAGCTTAGGAACCATTATATCACCAAGAATGGCATGGACAGCTACAGTCCAAGAAAACATCAATTATTCATCCGACACCAAGAGGAGATAAGACTCTGAAATCATTTTCGAGGAATTATATGAGATAAACTAAGGAACACAGGTTTGATATGCTCCACTACGATAACCACAACATGTAGCAGATCAAGCAAAAGGATCAAACGCTAACAACCAAGTAGACAGCACCTTAAATGAAAAGATACGAAGCATAATGACTGTGTCATGAGCTGCACTTACCCAGAGAACAGCAACCATGTCGGCGTCAGAAAGCTTCTCCTCCTTTTCCAGACCAAGAAGCACATCCACAAAGTCTCCTGCGCCATCCACCACACCTCCACTAATCCTACCCATCACCCTGTGCTCCTCTATGATGCCCCCCACAAAGGCATTTACTCGTTTCGATAGACTCCTGCACCTCTTCCTCACCCCTTGCAAGTCCAACCACCCCAGTAGAGGGAAGTGATCAGCCCAATTGAACAGACCAAGGAGCTCATACCCTTCTTTGACCAGCCCCTCCAGCTCCGATCCCTCACCCTTGCCAAAGTCGTATCTTCTGCCGAAGACGTTCATCATCACGTTGTTCAGAGACCCAACGTGCAGAACCTTCTTCACCTCCACCACGCCATTCTTCGCCATCAGGTCCCGGACGTGAACCACCATTTGCTCCCCGATCGCCCTCCGGCGCTCGCCGAACGCGGCTATCCGTCGAGGGCTGAACAAGTGGGTGGAAGAGATCCTCCTCAGGTTCCTCCAGTACTCGCCGAACGGGGCGAACCCCATGGCGCGGTGGAATAGGAGCTCGTAGGCGGACTCCTTGATGGGGCGGTCGGCGAAGGCCGAGCTCTGGAGGATCTCCTTCGCCGAGTCGGGGTGGCTCGACACGACGAACCGCGTGAAGCCGACGGAGAATGCCATCAAATCGATGGCCTTGTGCGAGTTGGCGAGCCCGGCGAGCACCCGGTGGGCGGCGGAGCCGGAGAGGGCAGAAACAAAGCCGGACGGGCCGGGGATGGAGCACGCGTGGGCCCTGGAGAGAGCCCAGGCGATTCCGCCGGGGAAGAACCATAGGACGGAGAAAGCAATGAGGGTCACGGCGAGGATCGGGGAGAGGGCGGCTCGGGGGAGGAAGAGCGTGAGGGAGGAAGCGTCCACTTCAGAGTACGACATGGGCGGGGCAAGAAGCCACAGTTTTAGCGGCGCAAAAGGCAAGGTATTTGGAGGAACGGAAGTGGCGAGATGGAGGTCCAGAAAGAGAGGGTTTGTAAGCGAAGCAAATGGGTGCGAGCGAGGGACGAAGAGCGTGAGAGCGGAGCGGTTAAATAGGAGTAATTGAGCGCGGGCATTTCTCCTCTTAATTGCTCGATACAAGTAAACTACGGTATACACTTCAGCGAAAACCTGTGGTCAATGATCCCTTTGTCCCCCAATGTAACAACAAATTACACGCTTTACCTTTGCAGACGTGTCTACTGCGAGGGTAGTTCAGTCACTTTGCGCGAAGGACCGATCTTTCCGAGATCTGGATCATTGCGTTGGAAGTTGGGACGGAGGCGACGCGCGTAACCGTAGACACCGACGCGCAGGCAGCGCATCCGGGGGATGGGCCACGAGTGGGCGTCGTGATCAATGAGATTGGCGGCAGGTGATCCGACGGGGCCCGCGCGGGATAATACGTGGCTAGACGGGAGAACCCTCACCAACGATGGCGGGCCCCATCGCCGGGACAGGTGGCCTTCGAGGTGCCGTCTGTCCCGGCCCGAAGCGAGCCCACCTGTGATTGACAGCTCAGAACGGGCGGGTATTGCCGAGTCGCACGGCCGGGATCGAACCGCCGCTGCGTCCCGGCGCCACAGAAAAGCGGCGGAGCCCGCTGCCTCGAGCCCGTCGGTGTCGTCGCATCATGTCGGTGCTACACGCCGGTCCGGTTCATCGACCGGGTCCTCCTCCTCGCCATCTGGATGGACCACGATGCCTCTTGTCGGCGGTTCAGATCGATCCTCGTGGCGCTTCTGACCACCGTCGGTTGCAGCGGCCAACCACGCAGCCCGATCTAAACCCCCGCTGGTTCTCCTTGTGGACCCCGGCAAAAACATCCTCACGTATCGACTGCCGTTTGTGGACCCCAGCAAAAAGCTGACGGAAACCTAGGGGATTGCTTTGCTCGCGTGAGATGATTGGTGGCTCGATCAGGACACAGTAGACGCGTACGTGGAGAGGAGATCACCACCAGCACTTGTGAATAACAAAGGGAAGCGAATCCACATTGATGGTTTCAATTTCACATGATAATGAATACACGAGAATACTATATATGATCATGAAACTTCCGGAGTGAAAAGAAACCTAGTGAACAAGAACCTTGGTGTGCGTGATCAATGTAAGGACACCCTATGGTTGTCATCCTCAAGAGCAAATGTTGTCCAAAAGCTGAAAGCTTTTATTGCATGGTCACAAGAGGACCACGCAGCTAATCATCTCATGTCCAAGTCCCCGTCTCATGCATGCGTTTTGGAGAGCCTACGTGCAAGAAGAAGAAACTCGAGGACAAGGCCTACCAGCATAATTGCTGCATGCACTACCAGCTTCCCTTTGTTCTCATCCAGCATGTGAACTCCCAAAGCCATATTTCCTCCTGGTCTCTCCATCCATCAGCTCCCCAGTACACAACCTGCTGGTTGAGCCCTGCAACCTAAACACTGACCCCACCAGGCCCTAGCCTTTTCTTTTACGTCGATCTCTGACGACCAACGACCATCCGACGCATGCGTGTTGTGCGCTGGGATGTGGTCTTCTTCGTTGCAGCTAGCCATGGTCTTCGAGGCCTTTGATGTCCTTGACATGGTCCTTCTCGGCATCGGTCGAACGAGTGATTTGACGGAACACATGACCGCTCGGCTCAGTCAAAGTTTGAGGTCATCATAGGGCGGAGAAGAACATGTGCGATCGGTTAATTTGGATGCTGCTATCTTGTGGCGGCTTTCCCATGGAAATTTAATACTTGTTATAGTGCTTACCTTCTGAAGGAGCGAAGAGCCAAAATGTTGTGGTATGGATGATGGGACACACGAGGGGACAATAAAACTGTGAGAAGAATGTATTACCTGGTCCACTCCAGTCCGCAAATTAATACAGGCAAAGATGGTTAAGATGTTTGCAAAATACTCCACGGGGATACTTTCTCCACTCAATTTTTTTAGCTTTACCCGAGCAAAAATCTATTGAGGATGAAGACGGTTTTCCTTGTGTGTGATGAAGGAGCCTTGTACTGCACTTTATACTTAATATTTGCTCTCATGTAATGAAACCAGCATCAACCATAATATCATGAGAATGGATTGAGAGGTCATTCACTTAAAGGAGGATAATATGCAATCACATTACATGTCTCTCAGTCATTCTGGCAATCATCTAGTACATATTCTTAGGATGCCATACATAACCAAACGTAATTTACATAAGTCTTTTATGACACCTGCCATATGCAATAAACCTTCATTCCAACAATCTCACTGCTTTAAACAGCCAAGAATAGCATCAGTTACTCCCGTTACCAAACAAGTAACCAAGGGAAGAACCACCTCCAGGAGCAGCATGCACCTTTGTGGAAGGTCGATCCTGTACAATGAAGACTCACAATTAGCTAGCTCTCCAATGATAAACAACAGGAAGAAGCACATATTCATCTCTTTTAGCTACAAGTAAATGAGAATTTGTATGCTCTTCAAGTTGCTATTGAATAGATAAAATAAGTTATGATATGAGCTGCTACACAGCTTAACTCAAGCAGTCACTGATTGTAAGGATTTATGTGGATAAATCTTTTTGGCAAGTACTTGTTGCAGATTGGACATGTCTCCTTGCAATCACTGTGTTCAAAGTCTGTTGGGCTTTTTAAGTAATTTGGCAAGACATCATAATACAAGCACAAATTTATAGAAGCAAAGAAAGCAAATTTGACAGATTGAGATCTTCACACTGCTAAATCAAAATGCAGAAGGAATTTAACACACAATGTAAGTTTCTATCGCCTAAGTCATCAAATATCCTAATGGTTATTAAAACTTTCTATCTCCTAAATGCACTAAGATCTTGCTGGAATATCTTTTGCAGATGTAACAAACTAGTACTAGTAATCCAATTTGATAAGATTGTCACAATTAACATTATTGCTACCTTGAAAGCAAATATGTAACACTCCAATTAGTCCCATATTAGAAGTAGGCAAGACTATGGATGACTTATAAGGGTTTGATGGGCATACTATTGTCAATTTTAACTTAAGTATTTTGGTCATAAGTTGGGTTTAACAAAGTTGATATGCCAATTAACCCATTAGGTGTGACATTTAGTATCAAAGATATTTTATTATTTAGGTACAGTGAGACTGTCACAGCATGCAGCCAGCCCATCAAGCTATGCTTCATATGCACCATGTTAGGATTTGATATGGACTATGTTGGGCCTTAACGAGGACGTTAGGCCTACCTTGATTAGTCCCATAAGGTAGCAATCATAACACGAGAACAACATAGTTAAATAATTTAGATATTCAACTTATCATAAAAATTTTTATTGCAGCTGACTAGAAGCCATGGACAAGAGTTCAGCTTGAGAAACTGCTGGTTTTAGATAAAGAATTTTGCAATTAAAGCTACAAACTATAACCTTGTAGATAAAATCAGTGTAAATGATAAAGGAAATAAACTAGAGCAGAAATAAACAGAGAAGTTTGTTTCTCTGAAGGATTGAATAAGAGAGAGGAGTAGATACTTTGCATGTTTGAAATGGAAATCCTGTATATCTAAAGAAGCAACATATGAAGGATTTTTACCAAAAGTTTCATGTGCAGATAAAAAGATACATTTGTAGAAAAAAAATGCACACTTAGCATATACGCTTTTATTAAAGTAGAACTAGTTGAGCCAGTGATATCATACTGTGATGAAATTTCCACAGTTCTGCCCATCTGCTCGGTAGAAGGTTTTTGCTTGACTGCTTTGGATACCAGCTGGAATCTCTTTGTTAATAGGGGGTGGAGGAGCTTGCTTTTGAACTGGTGCAGCATCATCAGAAACAGATTTGGGAGCCTCGCCGCCACCAAACAAATAGCCTAAAGAGCTCTGACCCCCTCCACTGCTCACTCCACGTCCCATTTTCTATCTTTGACAGATTTCCCTGCAAATTGGAAGCCTCAAGAGGATATCTAATCTGGCACAACTATAACGGAAACATCATAAGATTTCTTTTGAATGAAAATGACATGTCAGATTAAATTGTATGGATAGCTAGATGCTAATGGCATACAGAGGGCTCAAGTTTAAATTAATTTCAGTGATCAAGCTATCCTAGTCACAGAGAATAGTTAAAGCAGTCGAGAACTAAATTCTAGAAGACAGTTTGACTGAAGATGAGCACAGAAACAATTATTGAACTTTGGTAAATGGTACTTCTAAATATGCTGCAAATTACTTCCTAATGAATACCAGAGGCATCTTCATGTCATAGCTAATAGATAACAATATTGAAATTGCATATAACAATCCAGTAATATAATTCAGTCCACCTGCATATTTAATCTTCACATGGTTCTCTACACATGCATGTAAATGGAATATTAATACTTGATCAAATATCACAGTGAATAAACAAATCTACTGGTAACTATTCCAGAAATCAAATTTCTATTCTGTCATATGGAGGGCTGAGCTTACTCATGGCAGACATTTTTTTTCCCATTGAAAGTTCTTCAGAATTCTCTGTTTTATTAGCTGGAGTGCACATATTATTATAAAGAAGAGAAAAAAATGCACATATTATTATAAAGAAGAGAAAACAGTTATCTACAAATACAGAGTAATATGAAAGTGAGAAAAAATGTATTAGCTGGTCAAGTTAAAAATGCTGCATAAGAAGATAGATGGCTGAAAGCACAAAATAAATTGCTTAACCAACTTATTATTATCTTCCAAGAACAACATTTGGTCAAATAGCATGACTGATTAGTTGTGGAAACTGAATGAGATCATGCTTAAAGTTAAGAAAATTCTATTGACTTGTTATCAATTACTTGACCAGAAAGGAGGAATTTCAGATTTGACTTCAGCAGCAATCTCAAAAATAACTTGTATGACAAGGGTTTAAGGGATCATGCTATTATGAGTTATCAAATGGGATTTGTGGCCTAAATAATGGTCTTTAGCTAACAAGACTTTAGTGCACCAAACCAAACAATTTTAACAAAGAAACAATATCTCACAGACACACACAGAGCATGACATAGCGTGCTCCTTCATCAGCTGATTAAGATATTAAGATAAGCAGACAGGAGAGTGTCAGATATAGTATTGTTAAAAAGGAATTCAATATAACAAAATTGATATCTTGCATCTTTACTTATATATGGCAGGTCAGAACTTATCATATAAATGTAATCACAATCCAGGAAGTCACAGTTGACATTGCATCCAACATAAAGTGTTTCCTATTTGAGAGCAGGCTAAACTCGTTAAAATAAGCTACGACATTCAGAATCCAAGAAACCATCCGCTTCCTGAAGTTCATGTTACATAGCCTTTACAAGACCTGCAATCCTTGTCAGTCATGTGCAAGACACTGAAATCAAATATCATCCTACAAGCAAAACCAGTTTGAGATCAAAACCAGATCATCGTTTCAATCTACCCTTTCGATAAATACCATACAGCAGCCATTCCTCTCATAAATCACTAATAAATATATGTGCTCAATCTAATTCAAGATTTGCACGATTATAAACAGGACTATATCCATCACCAGATAGAATCAATACCACACAGCAGTCATTCCCCTAATAAGACACTAAGAATACATGACATCGATCAAAATCAAGACTTTGTACGAGTCTAAACATGACTATTCCTTTCACCAGATAGAATAATATATTATGTGATCTGGGGATTCATTCAGTATAAATCAATGTTGCCTTTGGTACATCAAAAGTTGCAACCTTTAGATCCATAAATCACAGCATCAATTAGACAAAATTACCAATAAATAAAACTAAAACTAGCACAATAAGTCACAAATCGTCGTTGCAACTCAACTCCATCCACTGTGACTTAAGTGCTAAACACACCAATTCTTGTGAATATGCAGCTAACTAAAGAAGATTACAGCAGGAAATATAAAATCCAGCTCAATTTGACCCCAAATTACATCTAGAGAGAGAATCTGAGATCTGCCATCAGGAAAACCAGAGATCGAACTCCCAATACTCGGAAGTAACATCCAAATAGAGAAAGTTTGTACCAAAAACAGCAGGAAACAACGCACAAGTATCGATCGATTGAGAGGCTACACAAAGCATCATGTAATGGCAAAAGGCACCGGCAACTCCCGGGAACCAGGGAAATCGAAACGATGGCAGATCAGATCTATGGTTAGGGTTTCATACCTTCCGGATCTCTAGGGGATCGGATCGGAGACGGGACTGAAACCTGAGAGTATGGCGAATTGGTAAGGGGGGAGAGGGAAACAGATTTAAAGCCGATCAAGAAAGAAAAAGAAACGAAGAGGGCTAACAGAGACGAGACAACGCGAGGCGGGACCCGTAAGTTGGTGGCATAAACTCTTATCTCTACTCCAGTTCATTACGCGCACTTCTTACGCGCCGAGGTGGGAGCAGCACTTTTCCTCCTTTTTCTGTCTACCCCTCCGTCTTACCTGCACTATGATAAGACTAACGGTCAGGACCCACGGAATTCGCAGTCACAGCGTTGGTAGCGAACGTGTAATCCCTATAGTAGTGTAGAAACGTAACCGGCATCCAGCGTTGCGAGTAACAATCGTCCTTGCTTTGGGTACCTAACGGTGAGTGCGGTGAGGACCGAGCCCAAGACGGGGCCCACTTGGTTTGGTTAGGCGACACGCCAGCTGGAGCCCAACCGTCCCATACGACCCTATTTATTGCTCGTGTTAATTTTTTATGGAATTCGATGCGACAGAAATCGAAGAAAAATAAAAAAAGCTAGAAAATGCTAATATTCTATATCTCACTAAATAGTTCTAATAATCGAATTAATGTGAGCTCGAAGATATCAAAACACTGCAAATATTATATAATATTATTTATGTAACTAATGATCTAATCAAAAATTATTTTTTGATCTTATTCATCATCTCCGATAGTTAAGAAGACGTGTTTGATAGTCATTAATTGAATTTTTGGCCCGATTGATAAAAAAATTATATTTATTTACATATAATCTCATGCATTATAGTATATTTATACACGGATTTCTTATACAGCAGTATATTTTATGTCTTTAAATTGTAAAATGTTATGTTCGTAAAATCAATATACGGAGGAATTTGTCTGTCATTTCGTATTTGGTTGCGACATATACGTAAATCTGAAACCCATCGCGCTCTCGACTCGATCGCGCGGCGGTTTTGGCGCGGAGGCCGAAGCGAATCAATCGGATGATCTCCAAATAGGTACGAGGTATGGTCGAAACCCCAACGCTTATCCCCCATTTCAATGCTTTTCCACCTCTATCGATTTTTCTTCGATGATTCCTATTTATCTGGTGTTTTTTCCTTGATTATGATACGATCTACCTTGATTTGTTCCTGATCTTAGTGAAGAGAAGTACCGGAAGTAGTGGAATGGTTTGATGATTAATAGTGTTTCTGGGGCCATTTCATTTTTTTGATTGATTTAGTCTTATAGTTCTGTGTCGTGGTTTGTGAGGATGGAGACGCAGGGGGTTTCATTTGAGACGATCTTGTTGATTTTGGGAGGATAAATGGAGAATAACCTGTAGATAGTGATCGATATTGGAGGATTTCCTGTTAGATTGATGATTTCTATGTCGTAGCGATTGCGATTGTAAGAAATAGTACTCAGATGATATTTCCCTTCAAAGAAGTACTAAAATGACTCAGATTAGGTCCGAAATCACTTGATAGTCACAGTTTGGAACTTGAATTACTCCCTGATCTCTGCTTCTGAACGCTTGTAGTGTATACACGAGTGATTTCAGGCAATGCTGCTATGGTGCTTATGTAACCTGTACAATGTTAGTTCCCTCGTGCTCTTCATTCATTCTACTGTTCTACATCGTGTAATCTTCTATTGTTATCCTTCTGATCCATAATATATTATTTTACCGAGATCCAAGTCACCTGCAACTCTGAGGGCGACCTACACAAAGGTATATGTTAAACATAATTCAAATGCGAACTTAAGGGCGAACACTCTGAGGTACCCATCTCTCGTTTTGGTGAATGCCATACTTGTCACTGTTAGCTTAGCACTTGTTTCAGCATGTATTTGTAGAGTATTTTGGTGGGCTATTACATGGGTTGGTGGGTTTAAAGCCCGTAATTCTTGTGAGGATGACAAGATGAGGAAAATGTGGGGAAAGAGCATATATTTGGTTCTTATATGGTTTCTTACACATCAAACTATAGGATGCTTTAGTGCTTTTGGCGGATAAATATTTGAGACGACTAAATGTATCTACTAATGATACATTATTGTTCATGTGATGTTGCCTTGCTTGTATGCCGGGCCTGATTTCAAAGCATCCTTGCGTGCGTTGTTATGCTTCAACAGTCTTGTACATTGTTATGCTCTCTCCTGTTTGTATAATATTCATTTACTGGCATCCTATACAAACTCTACGAAATTTTCTCTTGGATTTTAGTCAATTCTCTAGTAAGGTATCAGTGTTCCTGTTTAGATTTTAAAAATAAATTGATTAAATTTTATGAGGCATAACTAAACTTATCTTTTTTAAGATCTTTGAAGGGAAGCAGACAAGTTAGATACGAAGGAATTCGATTATATTTAGTTTAAACTTGCTTGTGGACTGCCTTTCAATTTTCATACTCAAATCAATAGACTTTTCTGGCTACCCCAAAATTTTATTTCCTTATTTCTTGTGGAATTAGTCTTTTTCTGAGGTAGCAAAAGATTTAGAAGATGGGCACTCAAGCAAATGGCTATGTAATGAAAATTGCTACAGAAAGTACCCGAAGAAAAAAATAGAGATGCCATTGGATATAATTAGTAAGGTAGGTTAGGTCCTTGTCATGTTGCTGTATTTCTAGCACTTTAATTTCCACTGGACCATCTCAGTGTAGAAGATTAAGAATGCATCATCCACTTATTTTCTGAATATTAGCACCATTTCAAATAGCTTAATAACAATCGTTATCTTTGTCACATTTACAAAATCTAGAATAGATTAGTCACCCATTTGATTTTGCTAATCATGAACATTATTTGTTTTCTTCTTTAGTTGTTTTGTTTTAGCCTCATAGATATTTCTTCTTTTTGACTGCTTGTGGCCAAGTCGATTACAAGGGTCAGTAGTGCCACAAATCCATTGTGCCACCAGTAAGAAAGTGCATAGAGATGAAAAAGGAACTCCTTGCAGACAACACCTACATAAATTAAAATATACTAACCATTCGATTAACATAAAAGGGAGTTGTGATCACCTAATGAACTAGTATTAATAAATCACTGCCTGCATGAAGAAATACATAAAGAAAGCTTACACCCAAAAGGAATCAAACCCTGTTTTTGTTGCCACTAAGCAACAAAAACTAGTGATCTGGGAGAATGTCTCTGGATGGATCCTTCAACCACCACAAAGTCCACATGACTGGTGGAACCTCATCCATCCATCAGAAAACTCTCACTTTCTCAAAAATCTGAACCCTGTCAAGTCTAGATGTGGACTCATACCCTCAGTAGAATCAAGGATGACAGCAAGAGAAGTGAAGGGAGAGAGGCCACTCCTGCCTTTGGAAGCATGCCCCCATGGCTGCCATCTATGCTGCTGGTAGTGCCTGAGGGTCCAAGTCCTCCCAGCACACTTGCAGTACTCCCTGTGGTGCCTGCGTTTGGGGTGAAGGTGGTAGGAGTTGTGGAGCTTGGGGTGGTGGTGCTTGTGCTTGTAGGAGTGCTTGATGTTCCTGTAGCACTGACACAGAGAAAAAAAGGAATGGAAGAGAAACAATGTCTGGATCAAAAGAACAACAAGCACTATAAATCTAGCACATATATATCTTGGGACTGTAGTTCTCCACTTTCACCATAAACTGAAAAGCAATAAAACAATTCCTGCCTTAAAAGAAAAACACCAATTACTTATAAATGATCAGATGCCAGAGGAATTATGGAAAAGCAAGAGATTTATTTGGTAAATCAAACAAGAGAATAATATGATGAATTAGATTCTGTTCCATAGCCTCAATAGATAGGTGGAGAGGATTTAGAAAGTCACAGAAGATGGTTCATTATTCCATTGTGATAAGATTGGGTGGATGAATGGAAAAGCTAAAGATGGGTGGCAAGGAAAAGAACCAAAAAGAAAGCCACACCTTTTGTCTCCTCCAACCATCAAATATTTAAAGGACAATTTTACATTTCTCTGGACTTAACAACAACAAGAAAAGTAAAACTCTTTTGTACTTAAAAGCAGGTGTTAAAATTCTTTGAGAAAATAATAGCAATCTTTTGTACCAAATTCAAGAGGAAGTACCTGGGAGTTGCAGGATATGTGCAACCATTTCCCCCTGCAAAATCAAAGACAATGTGGATTTCTCCTCTTCAAGTGGCAAACAATAATGTAAACAATATGTATCATAGGGGAGATTTAATCACCTGGATCTGTGGAGGTAAGCATGGTTGTGCTTGCAAAGTCACAGGCTCCTTGGGCCTGACCCTTCCTCTGGTAGTAGCTATTAGCAGCATAAGAGCAATGAGCAAGCACTGTGTTGGGGTTGTAGCATGCCCCATTTTGTTGGATGGGTGTGCAGTCTGCCCCACCTCCACAAGCATAGTCTAGTGCCTTTTGCAGAGCAGTGTTACTAGCACCAGACCGGCAGACACACCAAGCAGCATCTTCCACAAGAAATAAAGAGTTGACAAAGTAGATTTCAGTTCATGTATTGGGTTGCAAATGACCAGAGGGACTGACCATAAACACTAAATGAAGTTGTACAGGCAAGAAAATTAGATTTGGCCTAAGAGGAGAAGAGTCGAGAAGAAACGAGTTGTGACTATAACAACCTTAACTAATTAGCCAATCTAATAGAAGAGTATTATAAGATGGAAAGAAAAACTTCATTCTGCCATTCGATTCATACGAGACCATAAACGTAAAAAACAGACAACAAAAAAGGGAGCAAGATATCAACGAAGCAGAATCCTAAAGCTGACCTGAACCACCAAATATTGTGACTGTGATTACGAGGAACAGGAAAACAGCAGCCATTACTGTGGAGAACGAAGCAAGGGATTTGCAAAAAAGCAATGAGCTTATGAGCACTCCAGAGAGTATAACCAAGCTCAGAGAGAGAGAGAGAGAGAGAGAGAGATGATAGTTTTTGAACGAGTGACGGTGGCGTCCTTGCTTGGGATGGTAGATGGAAGTATTTATTTTACCTGTCACAATTATTTACTATTCTGCCTCTTCTATAAGATTGTGTACTTTTGTCAGTTGGGCTGTATGTTTTAGATTTTGGTTGCAGCATGGCCTTATGAAAGATAGTAAACCCAGGTTGGGGCTTGCGTTAGGTTTAAACCGCTACGAGGCATTGGATGTGAGGTCAGGGTAAGCCTAGTGTTGTGCTGTCAATGTGAGCTGAACAGTACACATCATATGTGGTTTGGCATCAGAATTTGGCGTTTGCAGCTGCTGTAGGTAGGTAAGCTCATCTTTTTTTTCTGCTCAAATGTGACGCCTGTCCTACTTTCTAGATTATTCTTGTTCTTCTGGAACAAACAATACTTTATTAAGAGAAATGTAAGACAGGTTGATTAAGTTTAATGGTGCAATGAGAGATAAAGGGAGACTACTCGTTTTACAATACTTTATAAAGAGAACTAATTTCTCTTTAATTTAATTAGAGATGTCTTGTATAAAACTCAATAGCTAAAAAAATATTCATATGGATGACTGCAATTAGTTCTGAAATACACTTGTTTTATTGTTGAATGAAGAAGATTTTTTTTTTTTTGCAGAAAACAACTTGCAGAAGGTTATTATATGTCGTGAAAATTCTGAGTAACTAAAGTTGGAACTTATCACACTAGACATATTGTAAGCAAATCAATATCCAGCTTCTAGCATAGTTGTAAACTCCTCTTTCTTTAATTCCAGTACAATGTAGCATTCAAACTTATCTAGCTTATTTACATGGCTGTGGATCCTTTTGCATGCTGTTTTGTGCCTTTGCAGGCCTGACTTGTTTCTCATTTGGAGCACAAGACTCATGATTCTAAAAAGGAAATGCACATTTTTGTTGGTCAGTTGTTGCCTTGTTGGGTTATTCTAATCACTGCTTTACTACTGCTTACTTTTACCCCAACCAACCTTAGTCAAAACATGGGAAACAATTTCTTGCATCTCTAGAAATGGTTTTAAATTCACATATAAGGAGGGGAATTGAGGCAGAAGGTGATGGTGAAACCTTGGATTAAGGTTGTTATTCATATAAGAGATACTAATTAGGACTTGGATAAAGATGAAGCTCATAGGGCCTAGTGATTTAGCCCGAGATAACAACAAAAGATGGTAGATGCATGAGTTTCGCCGAATTAGATTGGCATAGTTACACGTAAATACTGAGTGTTCATCAATTTGACTTGGTGAAATTGATTCGACGTGGATTTCTGTTTTGACTATTGTCATATCCGAAATAAAAGAGTCATTGAGTATTTAGTAGTTTCACAAATGAGAAATTTTTTCAAACGTGTCTCTTATCTTACTTTAATTTTAGTGCAAAAGATGTTTGCATCATGCCTTTTGCAAAAGATTTTTGTTTGGGGTTTACGTGATAGAATCATATAAATGATCAAGTTAGTATTTATTTAGTGATAGAATCATATAATATTATTTTATAATATAGAAATATATCTTTAATGGTTGACATGGGGCGTCGATTGGATTCCATGCATCATGTCATTAGGAGAAAATAATACTCGTATCACATAGTGACAGTATTCTTAACCTTCTTTTAGTACAATTTTTTTTATTTTCAATGATTGATTACTTTTCTAAAAAGATTGATGACTTTTCACATAATTTGATAGACGCATTCTACTTATCATAAATGACATGTGTGCTACTTATAATTTAGCATAAATTTTAAATTGTTATAGTTTGATAAGATCCGAGTATCACTGGTGCGAACTTCGAGTATCCTCTAGGATGTGAGCATTATATGATTTTGTCCCTTCCCACGTTTGCTTCGATGATAAGCATAAAAAATATATAAATAATATATATATATATATTTTATTTCTATAGAGTATTTTTTATTTTCTAAGAAATAAAATTATCCCTAACCTATGCCTCATTAGTTGTCGCCTTCATCTCATCACCTCGTCATGATCGCTTTCATTCCTCGTCGTTACTCATTGCCTTTACCCCACCATCCTTTGTCCATTACTACTTATGTACTTCTGTAGTATTTGAGTCTTACACATATTAAATTACAACTAGCATATCAAAAGAAGTAAAAATAATATGTATATCTATCCTTATTTCATGATATAATTTGTTATGTATATGCTTCATAAATATGATAAATGACATGCTCATATTTTTAATTTTTAAGATTAAAATACATATTTTTCAAAAATATCATTCACACTATTCTATGTAATGTTGATTCAGCATGCATAAACATCAATGTTTACATTAAATATAGCATAGCAAGCCCATGCTAACGGACTTGAATATAAAGTTAAGTTACTGTAATAAACATGCATGTTGGAATAAGTGGACTTGAAACGTTATATATATATATATATATATATATATATATATATATATATATATATATATATATATATATAAAGCTATCTCTTCATATAAATATAAAAATCATATACTTATTGAGTAATTACTCACTATAAACTCTATTTTGTAGGTAAGGATATTAACATCCTATCCAAGTAATTGGACAGGGAAATGAGCACGTGTTACTTAGAAAAGAAAAATAGCACGCGCAAATCATAGATATAGATAAAGACATGTGGACATTTCGTGTATAAAAATATAAAAATTAGTTAGACATTATGTTTTGATTCCATTGGTTAAATATTTAGAAATATATACATGTGTTAAAAATACTTTATAAAAAA